TCTTCCGCCTCCCAGGGTGCACACCAGCAGGAAGCTGGAATCAGAGGCAGAGCCTGCGCTCTACCTCGGGCACTCCAATATGGGACGCAGACGTCCCAAGGGGCTTCTTAACCAAACACCCCAGGATTCTCCGGCTTTCTGAGTGGTCGAGTGGAGCTGGATCCTAGTGGAGTCTTGTGCATAGAAGTCATGGTGTTCTATCAGGAGACAGGTGCCATCTCCCCTTGTGATGTGAGCAGGCACTGATGACCATTGCCTAGAGCCACTGTGCCCTTGGGGACTGAAAAATGGTGGTATTCTAGCCACAGCATTAGATGTTTACTGTCAAATCAGAAAGTCCTTATTAACTTGGAACTAGTTCTCACAACAGATTCACCTAGGAGAAAACTCTTTTCTAGACTCAACCCTCAGTCAAGTCTCCTCCCCTCCAGAGCTGTGCCATCCAGTGAGGTAGCCACTCCCACCTGTGCCACTGAACACCTTACAAAGGGGCTAATCCGGACTTGGGATGAGCTGTACGTGTAAAATGAATTCCAGACCTCAGTGACTCAAGATGAAAAAAGCAATAAAACGTATCTCACTAGCAATTTTTATAGTTTGCTATTAAAATAATATTTTGAACATGTTGGATTAAATACACTTATTAGAATGATGTATGCTTTGATCTGTTTGACCCTGAATGTGGCCACTAGAAACTCTTAAACTGCAGGGGTGGTTCACATGGTCTTTCTGTTGAATACCGCCAGCCTCGAGTACTGTTGCCTCCATGAACTCATGGACTCTTCCTTTAAGCTCTGCCTATGTGACAGGCACAGTCCAGAGGAGCCCCTGCCCTCACATAATCTGGGCTCTGGAAGGCAGAGGCACATAATTAGCAGATCTCTGCAACATCAGGAGGTGATAAAGTGTTGGGGGTGGACATCTTTAATCGGGAATCTGAAGGACAACAAGCAGGTGAGGAATGCTGGGTACACGGGATGCAACTTGCAAGACCAACATAAGGACTTGGACAGGGTTCTTTGTAGGTGAGATATAATTAACATGTAGCAAAACTCACTTTTTTAAAGTACACAGCTCTGTGGATTTTGACAAATGTATACAGTCACAAATCCACCACCACCACAACCAAGATACAGAATATTTCCATCATCTGCAGAGACTCACCTTGCCCCTGTCTAGTCAACTTCGCCCCCCCCCCCTTAGACTCTGATCACCCCTTGCCTGTCCTCTGTCCCCACAGTGTGGCTTTTCCAGTAGGTGATACAAATAGAAATACTCAGTAGGTACGCAGTCTGCTTCCTTCGCTTCGTGGAAAGCTTCTAAATCTTATCCATACCATCACGTGTATCAGTAGCGTGCTCCTTTTTATTGTTGAGTAGTATCCCATTGTATAGATGTGCCAGGCTGTTTATCCATTCACTGGTTGATGGACAGGAGAGAATTTGAAAGCAATAAAGGAGAAAATGAGAAACAAAAAGAAAATACAGCAAATGGAAAATATGAAATAATAGCGGATATGAGGCACAATACAGCAGCATTTACAATAAAGATATATGGGTGGTAGTCACAAATCAAAACAGAGAGAGTCAAAGATCGAATGAGCAAAATAAATCCAGGAGTGAGCTATGTACTCGCTTAAAGCAATGGGACACAAAGAGATTGAAGGAAAAAAGGATTAAAAAGGATATACCAGACAAATATGAACCAACAGAAAGCTGAAGCAATGATCCTAATATCTGACAAAATATAACTCAATACAAACAAAAGTACCATGAGGAAGATGTATAGTTTCACATTTCCACCCACAAGTATAGATTTTCACTAAAAACTGTAGCTTTGAAATACATAATGTGCCAAATTATGGAACTTCATAGAGAAACAAATAAGCCAATAATTTTATTAGGAGAATTTAATTCATCCCTTCTAGAAACCAATAAAGCAGGTGAACAAATACCTCAATCAGCAAGTGGATGCATGTGTACAGAGCTCCACCGTTAGCCAACATTCTTTGCTAGCACACATGGAACACTTAGTAACATGTAACACAGCATTAAAAGAAACCCAAATGAGGCCGGCGCCGCAGCTCAATAGGCTAATCCTCCGCCTACGGCGCCGGCACCCCGGGTTCTAATCCCGGTTGGGGCACTGGATTCTGTCCCGGTTGCTCCTCTTTCAGTCCAGCTCTCTGCTGTGGCCCGGGAGTGCAGTGGAGGATGGCCCAAGTGCTTGGGCCCCTGCACCCACATGGGAGACCAGGAAGAAGCTCCTGGCTCCTGGCTTCGGATGGGTGCAGCTCCGGCCATTGCGGCTATTTGGGGAGTGAACCAAGGGAAGGAAGACCTTTCTCTCTGTCTCTTTCTCTCACTGTCTGTAACTCCACCTCTCAAATAAATAAATAAAGTCTTAAAAAAAAAAGGAATAGAAGGTCTAAGCCTAAAATGGCTCATCTTGTTGAGTCCCAAGATATGTTAGGTGTAGAGATGCTGCCCCAGACCTGCAGGGCTCCAGAGCCTGGTATCCAAACCAGAACACCCAACAAGGAATGCAGCTGTCAGGTAGACCAGATATCATTCTCATTACACCCATCATCAACACCACTGTCTGCTTGTTCATTCATTTTTCAGTATCTTATGCAGATATTATTGTCTCTTATATGAATGGGGAAATTGAGTTTCAGTGAAGTCTAATAATTATCTTAGTCCATTCTGCTATAACAGATACCTCGAACAGTAATTTATAAAGAAAAAAATTTGTTTCTTTTTGAAGTTTTATGCATTTCTTATTTATTTGGAAGGCTTAGTGAGAAAGGGAGAGGGAGAGGGGAGGAGAGAGGGAGAGGGAGAGGAAGATCTTCCACCCCATGGTTCATTCCCCAAATGCCCACCACAGCCAGGGCTGGTCCAAGCTCAACCTTGGTCTCCTACATGCGTGGCAGGGGGAATTCCCAGTACTGGAATCATCATTTGCTGCCTCCAGGATGTGCATGAGCAGGAAACTGGAACAGAGGTGAAAAAACCAGAACACAGAACAAGCACTCCAACACAGGACGCAGGTGTCCCGAGTGGCAACCTAATCACAGAGCTACAACACCAACTCCAAAATCTTTATAATACAGCCCTGGAGGCTGAGAAGTTCACGTCCACAACCAAGAGATTACACTCAATGAAGGCCTTCAGGGAGGCAGGGACCCTCTGCAGAGTCCCAGAGAGGCACAGGGCATCACATGGCAAGACACGGCAAGCTGCCACGGCGAGCTGCCAGAAAGAGCTTGCTTTCATAACAAAGCCAGTCCTGTGACAGCCCAATAAGCCACCAATCCTTGGATGGATTAATGCGTTCATGAGATGACCCCGTCACCTCCCACATGCCCCACCTGCAAATACCATCAACAAATGAATCTGGAGACTATGTTTCTAACACATCAAATGTGGGAACACTTTCAGTAAACAGTGCTGGCAAAACTGGATGTATATATGTAGAGGAGTGACATTAGATCCCTACCTCTCACCTTATCCAAAAATCGACTCAAGGTGGATCAAAGACCTAAATATAAGACCTGAAACTATGCAATTGCTAGAAGAAAACATAGCAAAAATACTGTAAGACATTGCTGTAGGCATTGATTTTATGGATAAGACCCCAAAAGCACAGGCAACAAAAGCAAAATGAGACAAGTGGGATTGTATCAAACTCAGAACCTACTGCACAGCAAAGGAAATGATCAATAGAATGAAAAGACATCTGGTGGAATGGGAGAAAATATTCACGAGCTACATATCTGACAAAGGATTAACATCCAGAATGCATCTGGAGCACAAAAAAAAAAAAAAAAGTAAGCAATCCGGTTAATAAACAGGTAAAGGATATGAACAGCTAGTTCTCAAAAGAAGAAACACAATGGCCAACAAATATATGAAAAAATGCTCAATGTCACTAGCCAGCAATCAAAAGGTGAGATATCACCTCATCGCTGTTACAATGGATATTATAAAAAAAAAAAAACACAGTAACAAATGTTGGTGAGGATGTGGAGAAAGGGGAACTCTTACACACACCGTTAAGGGGAATGTAAATTAGTACAGCCACTATGGAAAACAGTATGGAGATTTCTTTAAAACCTAGAAATAGAACTATTGTCTGATCCAGCAATCCCACTACTGGGTATGTACCCAAAAGACAGAAATTCATTGTATCAAAGAAAGACCTTCTCCACCATGTTTACTGCAGTGCTGTCCACAATAGCCAAGATACAGAAGGTGTCCGTCTTCAGATGAATGGATAAGGAAAATACATACACACAATGAAATACTATTCATCCATAAAAAAGAATGAAATCCTGTCATTTGTAGCAAAATGGATGGAACTACAGGATATCATGTTCAGTGAAAGAAGCCAGACACAGCAAGACAAATACTGAAGTTCTCCCTCATATGTGGGGACAAACAAACCAACAAAAACCCTCAATATTAACACAGAATGGTAATTCCTAGAGGCTGAGAGGGGTGGGAAGAACAGATAGAGTTTAGATAAAAACAAATTGGGGAAAGAGGGTGTGGCCCATAGATTGTAAATGCATTATACTAAAATAAAATGTTAATGATAAGGGAAGCCGGATAGAATGATATGGGAATTCTTCATACTTCACAATTTTTGTTTTGTAAATTTAAAACTCTTCTGAAATAAAATTTTATCTTTAAAAACATTGTGGGGGGGGGGCGCTGGATTCTGTCCCGGTTGCCCCTCTTCCAGGCCAGCTCTCTGCTGTGGCCAGGGAGTGCAGTGGAGGATGGCCCAAGTGCTTGGACCCTGCACCCCATGGGAGACCAGAAGTACCTGGCTCCTGCCATCGGATCAGTGCGGTGCACCGGCTGCAGCGCGCCGGCCATTGGAGGGTGAACCAACGGCAAAGGAAGACCTTTTTCTCTGTCTCTCTCTCTCTCTCACTGTCCACTCTCCCTAGGGTAGGAAAAAAAAAAAAAAAAAAAAAAACGTTGGGGGAACATGCTCAAGACAGTCAGTAATTGTATCCCCCCAGAGGTAGGATTCAATCCTAGACTTGGGGCCCTGCCCTGCCAGTGCAAGGATGCTCACCGTCACATTGTCTACAGTAGCAAGAGAAAAAGAGAACCTGGAAACAGCTCAGTGAGGGGGAGTTGAGACAACTACAGGTCCAAGAGATAGGTCCATACCCTAAGATCTAACCTGAAATCCAGCAGCAGGAGTCCTGCACCTGGAGTCCGCCAGCGGGGCCCAGTAAGCTCTGCTCCGCCAGTGATGTGGGTGTGGCCTGTGCCGAGCCACCTACCTCAGAGCCCAGCATCCTCATCCCGTCAACAGGGGCTGAGATGCCCTTGTGGTGACCCACAGGTCTATGCAAGCGTCAAATACAAAATGAAGGTACAAAGCCTCCACTTCAGTAGAGAGATGTGCTGACTGTGGCTTCCAGAGTCCTCAACAGGCCTGGCTCCACTCACGTGTTTCCTAGAACCTGGGAGGCCCAGTGCTGCTGGTCATGTGGGAAGGTCAAATCTCAGATCCCCTGCCTTGGCAGCTCGGCAGGCACACGAACAGAACCACCCCTAGAGTTCAGCGACCAGGGCCTGCTCGCATGGGGCCCCTACTACAGAAGGTCCTTCTCCACCCTTCTTGTGGCCATGCCCCTACCAACCAAGCGAGAAAAGACAGCATGTGCCCACCTGTAGACCCTCCCCATCCCAGGCCACGCACAGTCCCCCGGCACCCCAGAATCCCCCAGGCCTGGATTGAGGTCCAGGCCCTCGGCTTCACCTCAGTGGCCTCACACCTGCTTCCAGGACTTGTATCTTTCTTCCTTTGGAGCCTTCCTCCCAAGGGTGACAGTCCCCAGTGAGTGCACCCCTGGACTCACAGGGCCAAGTGAAGGTTCTTCGCAGGGGCTGAGGGTGGAGAGTGTTTGGATATGCCCTTGGGACGCAAAGAGAGGAGGATAAACCCCAGGTCGGGCACAGGCTTGCATTCTTGGCCCAGACTCCCCAGATTAGGGTCCCACACAAACATCGCAGCCCCAGTCACTCCACTCCCCTTCCCCTGGGAAGCCGGCAATAAAACACTCATTGCTGGAGGCCTAATTACAGTGAGCAGGCTGGCAGTGCTGTCCCCAGAGTCTGCTTGGGAGGAACGTGCTGATTTATGCGCTTCCCAACATTTAAAGGTGGAGACCAGACTGTGGCTGAATCACATCTCATCGCTCCCTGGGACAAACTGCATGCCTGAGCTGCTGAGCAAACCCTGACAAGGACTGGCTGTCTCCGTCCTGTCCCTTCCTCCCCCGACCTGCCACCAGCTGCACCTGGGGGTTCTCTGACCATTCCTTTGGGTCAAACGTCCATGTGGGCCACACAGGCATCAGAAGTGAGTAACGACTAAACACCTGCTCCGTGCCAGCATCTGCAGAAGTCAAGGCTCACAGCCTAGGGGGGCACACAGTCACACAAGCACACAGATGTTCCTGTCGTGAGGGCTGTCCCGCTGTGAAGACTGCAAAAAAGGAACCAAATTTCCTCCCCCACCCATACCCTCTGCCCCTGAATCCGCACCTTGTTAGGTCACCTTGATGCCCTCTCCCTTGGACTCCGGACCCAGCTGGGTGCAATCTGGCCAAGACAAGCAGGCACAATGATGCAAGCAGAAGTTGAGAAAGTACCTGAGCAATGGAGTTTGTCTTCTTTTGCAGCTCCGGAAATTCACCCCGTGGCTGGCCTCCTGGGGAGGGGATCACAGGGAGCCACGTGGAGAGAGACAGCCCCCTCATCTTGGGCAATGATGCCATCATAAACCAGTCAGCCCCACAACAGCCAGGACTGGGCCAGGCCAAAACCAGAGCCCAGAACTCCATCCAAGGCCTCCACTAGGGTGATAGGGATCTAACCACTTGAGCTATCACCTGCCATCTCCCAAGGTGTGCATCAGCAAGAAGCCGGAATCGGGAGAGGACTTAGGACTCAAACCCAGGCACTCCAATGTGTGAGGCAGGCATCCCAAGGGGCATCTTAACTGCTTAGCCATATGCCACCCTCAGCTCTCTACTAACATAGCCTAAATAAGCTTTCATGGCAGCCACATCAGTAGTGCCCTGCCTCCCCCAACCCCAGGATCCTCTCTCTGGGTACAGCTGGGTTTTGTACATCCTTCCATCTTATCTGAATTATAAGTATTTTCCCACACAAGATTATTCAAAACCAGACCGAGAGCATGTCCATCTTTGTCCCTCCCTGCCTAGCCCAGCCCAAGGTGTAGCACAGAGTGGCAGCTCATCCTGTTGAGGGACCAGCACTGTGGCACAGTGAGTTAACACCCTGGCCTGAAGCACCAGCATCCCATGTGGGTGCCGGTTTGAGACCCGGCCACTCCACTTCTGATCCAGCCCTCTGCTATGGTTTGGGAAAGCAGTAGAAGATGGTCCAAGTCCTTGGGCCCCCACACCCACGTGGGAGACCCGGAAGAAGCTCCTGGCTCCTGACTTCGGATCGGCTCAGCTCTAGACATTGTGGCCATCTGGGGAGTGAACCAGTGGAGGGAAGACCTCTCTCTGTCTCTACCTCTCTCTGTTACTCTTTCAAATAAATAAAATAAATCTTTAAAAAAAATAGTCTGTTGAATGGATGCATCTACTTCCTTAAGAGTGGCCTTCCTGGAAGGGACACACTAGGCAACACAGCCCACCTAGTGCCAAACATAAGGGACACTCACCATGGGAGGCCTGGACTCCCGTTGGAGTTCCAGGCTCTCGGCTTCACCTGGCCCAGCCAGTATTGTGGGGGAGTAAATCAACAGATGGACTATTCTCTCATTGTCTCTCTCTCTTAAAAAAAAAGACAAATTTTAAAAGATATTGCACATCTGGATACTGCAGCATTGGGGGTGGGGGGTTCAGAGTACCACAGATTCTATCAAATGTTGGAGAGAAACACAGGACTACCTGCAAGACACAGCTCGAGGCAGATTGCAGCTGCAGCATTAGCTGTGCTGAGCTGCTTCTGCTGACCTCTGCCAGTGGTTACTGTGATACAGGGCAAGCTCCACGTAAAACTCAATGAAGAACAGGAAACATGGTGGCAACGTCCAATCTGATCCATTACGTTGTGCAGTGCCCAACGGGCATAGACTTCCCATTATTAAGTAATCCTGGATACTTGAGATAGAATTGTAAAATGTATCTTTCAATTTTGTGCAAGTTTATTTTTTTTTTCAAATGACTAAGAAATTGTTAGGCCATAAAGACTTGTAAGCTGTTTGAACCTAATTAGTAAACAAAATTACTAAGTATTCCTTTTGACCTTAGGGAACCATGAAAATTTTACTCAGGGCACGGGGCACAAAGAAATGCTGGGAATCTCCGTTTTCAGCATTTTCACTTCACCTCTCTGGGCTCTGGGGTTAGTTTCCCCACATATAACTGCAGATGGTAATCATATATCATAAAACTGCAGGTAAGATTGAGGGTATATGCAATATTTCGATGGGTTCCTGGTGTGTAAGAACTGCTACATACATGTTGGCCCACACAGAGGGGCCAAATCAGCAGCTGGCCTTATTACAGGAGAAACGTGTAAAACACAGCAGAGAACAATTCTATAACACTCTCTTCTTTCACTAATACTCTATCATACGCCAAGTACTTTTTTAAGGTTTATTTATTTATTTGGAAATCAGAGTTACAGAAAGAGAGAGAAGGAGAGATCTTCCATCCTCTTGAGAAGCCAGGAGCTTCAACCTGGTCTCCCACGTGGGTGGCAGGGGCCCTAACACTCAGGCCATCCTCTCTCTGCTGCTTTTTCCAGGCCATTAGCAGGAAGCTGAATCGGAAATGGAGCAACCAGGACATGAACCAGGACCGTATGAGATACTGGTGTCACAGGCAGAGGCTTAAACCCTATGTCACAATGCTGGCCCCTGCCAAATACTTTGATATACACCACAGGGAGCACTGAACTGGGAGTCATAGAGGTGTTCCAGGTGGCTGTGTCTGGTGCAGCAGTTAAGACTTCATTGGGAAGCCTGCATCCCATATCGTAGTACCTGGTTTGAGTTCCAGCTCTGCCCTCTGACTCAGTTTTCCTGCTAATGCACACCTGGGAGGCAGCAGGTGATGGCTCAATCCAAACAGAAGACCCTGGTTCTTGACTTCTGCCCATCCCAGCTTTGGCTCTTGCAGTCATTTGGAAAGTGAACTAGAGGATGAAAGATGTGTGTTGTGTGTGTGTGCCAGCCTTTCAAATCTAAAAAAAAAAAAAAGTGTTACTGTGGTGCAGTGGGTTAAGCCACTGCCTACAATGTTGGTCTCCCATTTCAGAGTTCTGTTTCCTATCCAGCTCCCTGCTGATGTGCCTGGGAAAACAGCAGAAAATGGACAAGTGATTAGGCCCCTGCCACCCACATGGGAGACCCAGATGGAGCTCTGGGCTCCTGGCTTCAGCCTGGCCCAGCTCTGGTCATTGCAGCCACCTAGGGAATAAACCAGTAGATGGAAGATCTATTTTTCCTTTTGTCTCAGTCACTCTTTCAAATACATCAATCTTAAATAAACAAAGAGAGAGATGTGTTCTGGCCACAGCTGAGCCTTGACACCTTGAGCAAGTCCCCCCTCCCCCAAGCTAAGTGCAGTGATAGCCACAGTGCCGCTGGCTGAGGCAGGGAGGTTGACTCTTTGTTCAGGATGGAGAAGAGCTCCCTGGATGACACACTGTACACGCAACAGGAAGCAGGTGACTCACAGTGCGCAGATGAGCCGCTCATTACAAACCATCTTCATCAGCTGTGGGGTGCGTTCTCCCGGACTCCGCAGGTAAAAGAATGAGTTCCTGGCTGGCTCTGCGTTGAAAGTAATTAAGCACGTCAGAGTTGCAAAACCATCCGCTTCGGCCTGATTCAAGCTTTCCACCAAATCAGACCATTTCAGAGTGCGTTGCAGTGGAGAAGTTTTCCCAGCTGTATAATCAGTTCTGTATTCAGTTCCTTAAATAGAGATTCGTCGATAAACCAAACGACCATTTTTAAAATGCAGTTTTGTCTTTGGGAAAAAAGAAAATAAAGCCTCCCTTAAAAAAAAAAAAAAAAAACCTGTTTTCATCAGATCAGATTTCCTTTGGCATTTGCCTCTAGGGTTCTTAGGGATTCTGATTTTTTTTTAACGCGGAATTTATTCCTTTATTAGATAGTCATTGAAATCGACCTCCTTCCCGTAGAGGGGTGATTATGGATTCGTTCATTTTACGAGGCTAGTGGCTGACAGAAGTGATGCTGCTGGTAGCGTCAAGAAAATGTTGTGTTTTATAAAATGAGGACTGAGACGGTTATGAAGTTGATTTGGACATGTTTTCTGAAATTAAAAAAAAAAAAACAGAAATGGAAAAATGGTTTGTTGCAGAGGAAGGGCTCCATGCATACAGACGGACACTGCAGTCTAACACAGACCCTTGAATAAGGCGGTGTCACTGCCTGACCCCTGCCTCCTCCCAGGTCTGTCTCAATCTGGGGCAGAAAGCAGACCCAGCTGAGGTTCCCAGCCCCAGCCCTACCCAGGGCACGTGACATCTGGACATAGCATTGTGTAGACTGAAGCCGGCAAAACAAACCACTGATCTTTTGGCCTTCAAAAACCGCCTTGCCCCCTCCTTGAAACGGACCCCATGGCCACACAGGCACCTCAGGTAGAAAAGTGAGAAGGGAAGCTCCCGCCACAATTACAGGAACACTCTTCCCACACGGCTTCCAGAACCAGGTGGTCCAGATTCCAATCCCGCCCTGCCACACACCAGCTGTGGGACGCCGAGCAAGTCCTGTAACCCTGCTGTATTGTTCCCTCGCCTGCCAGGTGGAAGTAGCAATTGGGAATCGAAGACCTTAGTATCTGCAGAGCACATGGAGCAGGGCCTGGCACGCATATTTTATGGAGGGCAGCTGCTGGCCTCTGTCTCACCTCTGGCTAACAGATGCTCCTTGCCTCCTGCCTGCACTCCACAAGGTCCACTTTCAGGGGCTCAGCGCTCCCGCCCCGGGCCACAGGAAAGCCCGCCACGTCTGACACTGCCCAAGGACCCTCTGATCTTCCATGGCCCGCCTTCTTGCCTGCCCATCTCTCCTCGCGGAGGAAATAACACCCTCACACAGAGCCCCTCGACTTCCCTCCCCACCTCACTCTGTCCTGCTCCTGCCCAAACCCTCACTCCCCACCCTCCTTCCTGCCAGAGTGGAAAGGGGCCCCTAACTGCACCACCCGAGGGTGGGGATCACCCCTGGTGGGGCCTGCCAGGGGGGCTGTGCGGCTCGTGTACCCAGCCCAGGTGCCAGAAGGAACTGAAACCCCATCCATTCTTGCTTTCCAGGCAGGACAGGCATGCCTTCTAATCCATCCACCCAGAGGGGTCCACATTTCAAAGTTAAGTAAAACTATCTTGTAGGTGAGCGGAGGCCCTGACACCTGGATACCCGTTTTTCCGGAGCCCTTTATCACTCTGTCACCTCTTTGTCAGCCTCTCCCTTCCCAGCTTCTTCTTCAGTTCCAGAGCTGTCATGGGCAGAGGCCGGCACTCGGGGAAACTGGCCAACACCTGGAATGGGGCAAAGCAGTCACCGTGGGCTCCTTCGGGGCTGCCTGTCACCAGGCAGGTGTCCCATTCTCCAGTTACCTGATTCTGTAAGGGCCACACCATCCTGCAGAGTAGCCACTGGCCGCAGGCAGCACTTGAACATTGAGAATGTCCCTGGTCCAAACTGAGGTGTGCTGTAAGGATGAAATACATACTAGATTTCAAAGACTTGGTGAGACAAAAATTGAATGTCAAATACCTCATTAACACCTGTTCTATCAGAGGCTTGCTGGGATTGCTGTAACCAAGTCCACAAACAGGACGACCTGAAACAACAGGAATTTCTAATCTCACAATTCTCAAGGCCACAGGGCCCTGGTCAAGGCATCAGCAGGGCCCTACTCCCTCCGAGACCCGTAAGGGTGAACCTGTCCTGCCTCTTCCTAATTTCTGACCGTGGCCATCAATCCTGGCATTTCTTGGCTGGCCGCAGCATCCCTCCAATCTCTCTGGACCTCAGTTGTCACATGACATTCTCCATGTGGGTCAGTGACGTCACGTGACATCCTTAAGGACCACCCTACTCCAGGATAATCTCGTCTCAACTAATTATATCTGCACAACCCTACTTCCAAACAACACCACATTCTGAGAATAGGGAATAGGACCTCAACAAACCTTTTGGACGGGATACAACTCAATCCACAATACACATTTAAATGATACAATTTGGGATGTATTACGTTAAATTAAACAAAATGATTAATTGCATTCGTGGCTCACACGTGGGGCCCACATAATATTTCTCTTGGACAGCTTTGCTCTAGAATATGTACTGTGATTTTCTTGCTAGTTGTGATTGATTAGGTCACTCTGCAGCTACGGAAGGGTAAATGTTAACTGTAGAAAACAAAAGGCAACCAATGAATTTGATCCAGTACAGATGCAAAAATTATGGATTTTTTATATGTATTTTGGCAATCTTACTCCAGTTCTTTTTCTAAGTGGCTATAAATATTTCTTTCTCTCATACTTTTTTTGAACTCTCCTTACCATCTTGCTGCTTCGCTCATTAATAAGTTAATTAAATCTTTGACCCATGCTCACTTTATGGAAAGTTAAGTTTCCACTCTACTCTGAAGAAGGGGCTCTGAGGACAGTGCAGCCTGAAAGGCCTCTCTTCCCTTCCCTTCCCTTCCCAATCCCAGGCTACTGCCTTTTCTAAGCAAGACTTGATCCCTACAGAAATCACTCGTAGGGCAGTGATGGGGGAGTTGAACGTGACCATTCCAGGGGAATCAGGGCTCTGAAGTCCCACAGACCCTGTGTGAAACTGCAGAGCCTTCCTGAACTTTAAAAGGCCCAGACGTGACTGACATGGACTAAGTTAGCCACCTGCAAGTATGGGAGGATTCAGAGATGCAGGGAGAGGGAAGCCTCCCTTGGACACTTGGCAGGGGGCTGACAGCCTCCCAGGAAGCATGGACCCTCAGGATTACATCCTTTGTCCCCAGCCATCTTCTAGGACACTTCTCAGCCAGATCTAAACCAGAAGAGCAGACAACAAAAGACAACAGCACAACCGAGGGATCCAGAGGAGAGTGAGGTAGGACAGTCAGATCACATGTCCACCGAACAGAACTGCAGCCAAAAGAGACAAATTCATACCTGAATTTTGAGACTGACAGTAGGCTTTTAGAAGCCCTAAATGTAGGGCCAGCACTGTAGCACAGCAGGTTAAAGCCCCAGCCTGCACTGCCAGCATCCCCTATTGGTGCCGGTTTGAATCCCGGCTGCTGCACTTCTGATCCAGCTCCCTGCTGGTGCACCTGGGAAAGCAGTGGAAGATAGCCCAAGTGCTTGGGCCCCTGCACCCACATGGGAGACCCAGAAGAAGCTCCTGGCTCCTGGCTTCATATAAGTGAAACTCCGACCATTGCGGTCAATTGGGGAGTGAATCAGCAGATGGAAGACCTCTCTCTCTGTCTCTACTACCTCTCTCTGTAAATGACTCTCAAGTAAATTTAAAAAAAATTTTTTTAAAAAAAAGATGACCCAAATGCATCGCAAAAAGAACTTTTGAAGTTTAAAATGAAAATTTGAGCTTGAAAAAGAAAACAAAGAACAATAGGTAAATTAAAGGAGAGGATGTCATTGTTGAGCCCTGAATCAGAAAGCTGGAAGATCAAGAATAAGAAATATCTTAGAGCTTAGAGAAGAAAGGTAATGAGACAAAGTCATGAGGGAGAAGATAAAAGATTTAGAGGAGAGTTTCAGGAGACCTAACATGCAAAGAACAGAAGTTCCAGACAAAGACAAAGTAAGAGTGGGAGAGGCAATAATTAAACACACGACAGAAAAAAATTTCCCTGAACCCAGGAAAGACTTGAATCTCTTGTTCAGTCCATGGCGACAAAAGCACTGGCTGGCTAAGAAATGATGCACTTGCTAGGATGGGAGAAAAGACACTGGAGCAGGTGCAAGACCTCACAGGTGAGCCTGCAGGTGGGAGACAATATGTGGAACCACAAATGAGCGCTTCGTCACCTCTGCCCTCCAAATAACCCACAGGAACCTGTCTTGTGACCCACTTGGGACTTTATAGGTGAGGGAATTTGCGCAGTGTGGTTCAGTCCAGCCAAGTTCACACATTTCAAAGCCACCATGCCAGCTAAGGCTAAAAGGACTCAACAAGCTATTTGTAGCCCTATGTGCTCTGGGTGGCCTCCAGTCAATGACCGAGGAAGGTAACAGCACAAAATCGCAGACTATCTACCCAACAGAAGATTGCTTTACTGGGCAATTTTTTCTTGTTTTTTTTTTTTTTTTCAAGATTTATTCATTTGAGAGGCAGAGTTACAGAGAGAGAGAGAGACAGAGAGAAAGGTCTTCCATCCATGTTTCATTTCCCAAATGGACACAATGGCTGGAGCTGCACCAATCCAAAGCTAGGAGCCAGGAGCTTCTTCCAGGTCTCCCACGTGGGCGCAGGGGCCCAAGCACTTGGGCCATCTTCCACTGCTTTCCCAGGCCATAGCAGAGCGCTGGATTGGAAGAGGAGCAGCTGGGGCTTGAACAGGCGATCACATGGGAGGCTACGCCACAGAGCCTGCCCCTTACAGAACAATTTTTACAAAGCTCTCCTGCCAGGCTGGCAGCTGATAGGATTACATTGTGACGGGGTAGCTCCACCTCCCCAACCCGTTTCCCCTCACTTCCTTTCACAGACGTCACGCTACAAAATCCTTGGTTCTTCTGACTCTGCCTCAGCACCTGCTTCTCAGAAATTCCTGCCAGCATAAAATAATGCGAAGCAGCTATTGTGATTATGCTCAACACGCCAAGGAAAATACGCTCCAAACAAACGAACCAAACGGAAATTCAAACAGCTCAGTACAAACCATAGAAAAGAACCAAGTGAACATTCTAGAACTAAAAAATATAATCTTTGTATTCTTTTAAGTTCACTGGATGAGTTTAACAAGCAATTAGAGGTGACAGAGAATCAACAGATTTGAAGATAGAGCAATAGAAATTGTCCAATCTGAGAAAGCAAAAGACTAAAAAATTGTAACAAAACCTCAGTGGCCCTCTGCAGAGCAATAGCACAAAGTTTAACATTTGTTTAATATGAACCCCAGAAGGCAAGCAGAGAATGGGACAGAAATCTTTGTGAATAAATAATGTTCCAAAATTTCCCACTCTAGTACAAGTTATAAATTTACAATTTCAGGAAACTCAAACCCACACAAGAAAAAAGCACACAGAAAATCTCACACGAATACCGCATAACAAACTACTGGAAACCAAAGATAAAGCAAATGCCGCAGGGCCAGCCTTTGGAGCAGCGTTCAGACACTTCAAATGCGTGCATCCCACACTGCAGTGCCTAGGTCTGAGTCCCGGCTCTGCTTCCAATCCCAGTTTCCTGTTAATGCACACCCTGGTGGGCCGCAGGTGATGCCTCAAGGGATTGAGTCCCTGCCATCTGCATGACAGACCCAGAGTGAATGCCTGGCTCCTGGCTTCATCCTGGTGCAGCCTGGGCTGTTGTGAGCATTTGGGGAATGAACCAGCAGACGGAAGATCTCTGTCCAGTGTCTGTCTGTCTGTCTCTCTCCCCCCTTTAAACTAAATAAAAATAGATTTTAAAAAAGAAAATGTCATGAAAATAGACACGGAAACAACACTGGTATACTGGGGAACAACAACTTGAATTACTTCTGACTTCACATCAGAAATAATGGAGGGCAAAAGACAACAGAGTAACATCGCTGGAGAGATGGAAGAATCATCAGCAACCAGAATTCTACATGCACTAAAATATACGTCCAGAATGACTGTGTTGGGAGTGCACATTAGCCTAGCAGTTAAGACGCCCACACCCCACTTCAGACGGCTGAGGCTCAAATCCAGGCTTCCGCTCTTGACTCCAGCTTCCTGCTAACATGCACTCTAGGAGGCAGAGGTGACGACGGCTCAAGGAGTGGAAGTCCTGGGTTGTGTTCCTGGCTCCTGATGTGACCCAGCCCAGCCCCAGACAGTGCAAAAATTTGGGGAGTGGACTAGCAAATGAGTGTGCTTGCTCGCTCATTCACTCACGCCGTGTGTGTGTGTATACACGCACACCCACACATACATGTACATGTGCACCTCTCAAACAGAAATGTTAAATGCATTTAAAAATGAGTGCATTGCTATGTGACAATTACTACAATGCACATTATCGTCCCACGGTCTCAGTGGCTCAAATGTCAGAGCACAGCTTGGCTGGGTCCTCTGAAGGCAGCAGTCAAGGTGTCAGCCCAGGCTGAGTTCTTATCTAGAACCTGGACTGAGCAGGCCCACTCAGGTAGGTAGCAGGATTCGCTGCTTTGAGTCGGCAGGACAGGAGCCAGCCTGAGCTACTGTCTGAGATGCTGCCTGCAGTATTCTGCCCTGTGTCCCTGATCACTTCATCTTGCTTGGTCGAAGCCAGCAGGAGAAAGAGACTCTACAGTCGGTGGGCAAGAAGGAGCCTTCGTAAAGCAAAGTAAAACAATCACTGTCGCCTAACCACACTCATGGGAAACTACGCCAAGAGGTGACTACCAGAAGCTGGGGGCTGTTGAGGGCCACTCAAGGTCTGCCCACCACAAGGAGAGGAAACACAAACATGTGCAAATGAGTGAAAGCCAAGGGAATTCACTGTCAA